GTTCAATATTCGTATCTCCATTTTTCTATATCTTACGTACATGCGTTTTTGGATCTTTTATGTATATCCATATGTGCATGTACATAAGACATATTACGAATATCCGCTATCTGCATATCCGATTGAGTATATTCTATGCATATATGTTTCTGCAAGTACTGTACATATCAAATGCGTATGTATATTGTATGTACTATGGATATTCATTATACGTATATCCATTTTAGTATATTCTACATATATAAGTTTTTGGAACTTCTACTTATATCCATATTTGTGTGTACATAAGATATATTATGGACATCTCATTTACGTATATACGTTTCTGAATATCCTATGTATGTCCACAAGATTCAATAGATGTACTTTGAATCTTACGGATATCCTGTGTACATTCAGGGAATATCTGTGCTGACTGGGAAAATGCTTATCTGCAACTCATGGTCAGAGAAGAAGACTGTGAATTACTGACCCTTAATACACATAGAGGGTTGTTTAAAAGTAAACGATTAATGTACGGCGTTGCTAGTGCGCCAGCTATATGGCAAAGAAGCATTGAAACAATTTTGCAAGGAATTCAAGGCGTAGTTGTTTTTCTAGACGATATTCGAATCGGTGGCAGAAACGAAGAAGATCATTGGCGGAAACTACAGGTAGTTCTTAATTGTTTACAAAAGCATAACGTTAAAATCAATTTCGATAAAAGCGAATTTGCAAAGGAAAAAATTCAATATTGCGGTTATTTGATTGATAAAAATGGTGTTCATAAGTGTCCAGAAAAAATGGAAGCAATCCGCCACATGAGGAGATCCCAAAATATTACAGAACTACGAAGTTTTTTGGGATTAATAAATTATTACGGTCGATTCATAGAAAACCTCAGTGATATCGTCTTTCCGTTAAATAAACTTTTACAAAAGACCAACACTTTTAACTGGACAGAAAGCTATGAAAAAGCTTTTAATAACGCCAAGCAAGCATTTTTAAGTGAAAAATGTCTTGCACATTTCAACCCTAAACTTCCTTTAGTTCTGGCCACTGATGCAAGCTCATACGGTGTGGGCGCCGTTCTTTCACATATGTTTCCAGACGGAACCGAGAAAGTATTACAATATGCGTCACAAACCTTGTCTACTACACAAAGGAAGTACAGTCAAATTGATAAGGAGGCCTATGCTATTATTTTTGGAATAAAAAAATTTCACCAATTGTTATACGGAAATTCCTTTACATTATTAACTGATCACAGGCCTTTAGTTCAAATTTTTTCTCCACAAAAAAGTTTACCACTTTTCAGCGCGTTACGAATGCAGCACTATGGTCTTTTCTTACTACTCTTCTGGTTTCAATTACAAAATCAAATACAGAAAATCGGCCGAACATGCGAATGCAGACTGCTTATCAAGACTTCCTTTGTCTAATAAAATAGAAACTCATGATGTAATAGATGCATTTCTAATTGAAACAGTAAATTCTTTTCCTATTGACGCCAAAATTGTTAAAGCCGAAACGCAGAACGATGTGAATTGTCAAAAACTATGTAAAATATTAGAAGAAAAACAGAGAAAAGCGAAACGAACTTTCTGGAATATCGATCTTAATGAATTCCGTGACATAAATGGTGTACTGATGCGTGGTCACCGAATAGTAATACCAACGAAATTGCGTAAACAAATGTTACAAGAATTACATGTAGGGCATTTCGGAATGATGAAAATGAAAAATCTAGCACGAAGTTATATTTGGTGGTCAGGGTTAGACCAAGAGATCGAAGATCTTGTCAGAAATTGTGCAAATTGCAATACTTATAAAAATAATCCGAAAAAAGAAGTTCACTTATGGGAAGAAGCGACAGAGCCTTTTCAACGAATACATATAGATTTCGCAGGACCATTTTTAGATAAAACATTTTTCATTCTAATTGATGCTTTTTCGAAATGGCCTATCGTACGTACAGTTAAAAACATGTCCACAGCGAATACGATATTAGTGCTGGATGAAATCTTTGCGACTTTTGGATATCCGAAATACTTAGTATCGGATAATGGAAGAACGTTTATTGCTAAGGAGTTTAAAAACTTTTTAGAAAAGCGAGGTGTTAAATTAAAATTAACAGCACCTTACCACCTGTTGTCCGTCTCTTCACCGCGCTCGGTGAAAGCCTAACTGAATTTAAGTCATCGGACGCCTCGGGCGTTCGGTACGCGTATAAATCTCGTAATCTCAAAGCCGCGGGTTCGTTCGGAGGAAGCGGGATGCGGTCTTAGAAAGGAATACACAGTCAATCCATACACCATTTCCGCGATATTACCTCACTCTCACTTGCTGAGGCATAAAAACCCTTGCGAGTCAAGGGAAAAGCCCGAGCAAGCGCTTACTTTATTGTTCCGTAATATACTTGATCCTTCGCATTATCGGGCTCAAACAATAGCCGATCATCTGCTGTCGTATAATACGGATGTTATGTTAGGTAAACCGCCTCTACATGAGGTAAACCGCCTCTACCTTAGGTAAACCGCCTCTACCTTAGGTAAACCGCCTCTACCTTAGGTAAACCGCCTCTACCTGAGGTAAACCGCCTCTACATTAGGTAAACCGCCTCTACATGAGATCGAAATGGCCATGATAGCGCGAAATGGCGGTGCGCCGCTACAGGACGACACCGCCCCAGCTCCCGTGATGGGAGAGCAAGTCACCCTACTGACTTGACGGAAAACAAGTCGCCCTACTGACTTGTCGGAAAGCATGTCGGACCACTCAAGTGTCCGCGGCCGAGGCCATGGGAGGGTGATGCGGCGGGCCCCGCACCGCACTCCTCTCCCCCCAATAGTGAGGCTCGCGTCTCGACAGAGGAACACGACCTGCAAAGTGACGGGGCGGCGGCCCACGGCCACCCCGCACTCCCAAACCAAGACATTATCGCCGCACGTTGGGCAAGATTAGCGGAATGACGGGACGGCGGCCATACGGCCGCCCCGCATCTCCCCCGCAACGACAGTGAACGCCGCGAAAGCGAGGCACAATGGCGGAAGGCCCTAAAATGGCCGTTGCCACTCCTACCCCCCCCCCGGCGCCCCACATTACCTTTTCTCGCTCAGACCCTTGGTCTCCTCCTAACACCCTCGCTCGCTCGCAAGTATCCACGCTCTTTCGCACAGCGCACAGCGGGCCAGCAGACCTAAGAAAGTGGCCAAAATACTGAAAGTACTCTAATTGCGATGAAAATGGATATTCAAAGGATTTTGAGATAGCTGAGTTCGAATTCAAACTCAGATTTTAGAAATTCAAAATGGCAGATCCAAAATGGCGGATGGAATTCTACACTTATTGCAAAAATTATAGTTGTCAGGATCCATCACGTGGATATTGCAATACGATTTAAGATCTCGTATTTTTTTATTATGAGTTCCCCTCGCCTCTCACGAACCGGGGTGCTTTTTGATCGTGAGTTCCCCTCGCCTCTCACGAACCGGGGTGCTTATTGACCGTGAGTTCCCCTCGCCTCTCACGAACCGGGGTGCTTTTTGACCGTGAA